GCGGCGGGGAATATGACCAACATTTGATGATATTACTGACATGAACATGTTCAGCGACCCGGCTGAGTTTTTTGTAGTGCCATATATACAACAGCTACAGGAAAAACAGCGAGAACCTCAACCGAGTATCCACCCCGAATATCAGCTCGCTGTTCGTCAGCTTCTGTATCAGGTGATTTAATTTATTCTATTTACGACCCTCTTTTATCATTGTCATGTATTCCCATAAGAGACCGGGGTCCCTGCGTGACACGTCCGAAATTGTCTCCAAGCTTTCGACGGCGATGACCGGATTGAATAGCGACCGATAAACACGGTGGTGCGTTTGAATGCAGCCATTCATTGAAAAGATAGGGAGTAATCAGTTCGTGAATTATATTCATTATACGGCCTTGATACGCATGTGTTTAGTTTCGGAATTCCATTATAAAGGGTGTTAGCAACCATGTCTGAGCAGGCCGACGACGACGGTACTCTCAATGTATTCTCTACAAAACGCGGGAACGTCAATGTGAATGTTCTCGTCTCGTTCAAGGTACGCTGACGGTTTTTAATATTTTTCTGTCGTCGAATTTCTTCACCGAATTATTGTTATCGGTGGATTTTGTTCATAAAATACGCATCACCTTGGACGTGAAATTGGTCGTTAATTGTTATTTGCTTGTCACAGATGTCACGTTTGATTTTTACTTGATTTATTTTCTGTGTTGTATTTCGATACGAGATTTCCATGCGTTTATCTGTCTTCTTAGGGAGTAATAATGTTGGTTTCGTTCATTGAAATCAGCAATACGATACTTCTAATCTGTGATTTGCGGTTACTAAGGCGACTAAACAGCTATTCCAGCCTCGAGTATTCACATTCACTCCAATTCACCAATCTGTTATTGTCGCTTTCATATACCTTCCACTTCCGCGCGAGGGTCAGTAGAAGTATTGTGATTCGCGTATAACATGCGATATTATTATTATTATTATTATGATGATGTGTATCATTGATCGGTGAAAATTAACGATTTATATCATTGTTGCATTTCAATGGTGCCCGATCACCGAGTGCGCCCGCCGGATTCGCCGTGAATCCTATTGGTTCCAGGATACCATATCGCCATGGATGGCAGATATGGCGTAATCGCCACCTGACGCATGTCAATCGTATCAACGGGATCATACTGGTCGGTCATATATGGAAGGTGAAAACCACAAACAAAATATATAATTAATACCGCCATAATACGACGGACACCGTAGTCGATCGCCATGAGAAAGCTAGCTAAAACAGGTGCACGTATCTCTGTATGGATGTAGCATAGGTGAATATGTATATAGTCACGGTATTATTGAGTTACTATTGTGTTTTGTTATCGCCAGTCTGTTTGGAAAATGTAAATAAATGGACAAGATCATTGAGAAATATTGTTTGCATATACACTAGCCGGGAAAACATTGTCTGATTTCGATTGAAACGCGTTTTTTGTAAGTAGTACAGTGTACAATGCCATTACGTCATGGCTCGTTTTGTGTATGTTTCGTCGCTAATAAACAACAGCATGGCAAGGTGTTACATACTCACTACAGTACTCATAAAACACTAAGCTATGAACATATTGCATGTTATTAGTGACCTTTGATCATGTATATGTCATGTATTCTGGTTTTGCTTGATATTTGCAATGATGGAAAAGGGTAGCAGTCAGTAGCCGTGTTTGTGATGTGTGAAATATGGCCGCCTTTTAAAAGAGATGTTGAAACCTTCAAACCGTTCAGTCAATTGCTGGTTCAAACTCAACTACAGAGATTGAACTTGAATATTTAGAGACGCAAAACACGAAAATTACGTCATTGTTTCGCGAAAATCCGCGTACTTAACTTGATTCACTATTTTTTTTCTGTAACTGTGTAAGCGTGAAACAGCCGGGCGACTTTGATTCGCAATACAATATGGGTAACGTCGATAGGAATTGGAAGAGAAGAAATGCATTAAGGTTTATTACTACGCGAATTTCACACCACAGTGGTTCAGAATACATCCCTTCTGCCACAATTCGTAAACAACCATCCATCAATACACAGTCACTCTCCTAGTAGAGTGACTGTGATCAATAGGTGCACCTGATCTCTAACTCTGGAACTGGATACAATAGATTGACTACGTGTATAAAATAGTCATCAAGGGTGTTTGAACTTGGTACATAATGATACTATGTATATTTATCTTGGGGTGTGAGTGGTATGTCGCATAGCAACACAACGGCACATGGGTGTTAATAAGTATATGTGACTGATTAAACACGCGATGGAAGGAAATTTAACGGTCTTAGAACTAAAATTACGAAGAATTTCAAACTGCTCGACAGAGTAGGTTGATGGTACGGGGGAAATCACAACATTGTTGTCACTATGACAACAATTTTGGGTACCTTCATCATATTATTTGCATTTAGTTATGCGTCTTAATCTTACCTATACGGTTGCAAACAATGGTAGTGCAGTTTCGTGTTCCCATTTTATCTTATTTGGCTGCGAACTGTGTAATGAATGATCAATAGAATTAGTATGGTTTGTAGTATTATCGGAATAAAGCCTGGCAACGATAAGACATATAAACTGAAAACTACTCGTGTACCCC